GTTTCAGGTTCCCTGCTACTCAGTTCAGAGGCAAGGTCGTTGACAGCTAAGACCGGCCGGATTGCGCATCATCACTTCATAATGTGTAATTGGAGCCTTAACATTTCCTAATTTCTGAATTCCTCTGTTACTGACATTGGATCTAAAGAGCAGAATTTGCAAAATAACATCAACTCCTTCACAAAAATAAATAAATAAGCATCCAGCTATGGTGTATTTGAAAATTTTACAGCACATTACATCAAAATTTCAATCTATCACATTAAAGATAGGGCTGCAAGTCAGGTCAGGTAAAGTCAGGTTGAGGCCAACCCTAACCTTAACCCTAACCCAACCTGGCCTACATAGCCCTAACCCTAACTAAATTTCTTCAACCCTAACCCAATCCAATCCAGCCCAACCCAACCTTCATCATATCCCTTAAAATCTCATAGAACTTCTCAATCTAAGATCTTAACTCAACTTTCACTACATACATTAATTCTATGTTTTATTTGTATTTGTTTGTTGATGTTTTTATTGATTCTTAGTATAAAATTAAGAAAATATGTGTTTGAAATGACTATAATTTATTATGACTTATGGCTCGATAGATTTTTTATGGGCAGCAAACATTAGAGAGGGGATGAAGAAAATATTCAAAAAACAATAAATATGTTATTAAAGTTTTAATCTTTCCAATTAGGATTAAGTGAAGTGATTATCTTAAAAGAAAAACATGATAATATGTGGGTGGGGCTTTACAACTATCATACATTTAAACAAATCAGTGTATGATATATTACATATATAACATATATTTATATATGATATGTACTGTAAAGTCAGATTTGGGTTAGATCAAATTGTCTCAGAGGTCAATCCTAACCGAGCCCAAAGTAAAGTTGGATTCATAAATTTCAACCCTAACCCTAACCAGAGCATCAACGTGCCCCTTGAGTTGGGTTAGGGCCAACCCGGCCTAAGTTGCAGTCTTAGTTAAAAATGTCACCTGATCTACCTATCTTTTATTTGTTTGTTGTATTTAACAGTAAAGATTTAATAACATTAATGATGTCAAGGGGATTGGTTCACATCTGAATTACATTGTAGCAATGCAAAATCGTATCTACACTTTTTGTTTTTGCTCTGATCCAACAGTCCCCATATATTTTAGTGCTTGGTTATTTTAATTATTTTATGGTAGAGGACTGTTCTTTTGGAGGAATTGTCCCATTTCAGCAACATGGAGATATCCGAGATCCTGTACTCAAGGTCAATCACATGGCAGATGCTGTTGGGTTGGAACAACATACTATGTCACCACCATTTTCAGTACAGCAGCTGCAGCTGTGGCGAAAAGAGAGAAACCCTTTCTTCTTGGCACTTCTGAAAGTGAAGAATTGAAACTGCAACCACGTACTAGTATTGATTGGGAAACAGTCCCAAAACATTATGAGGTACAAAGTTGATGTGGACTTGGCATCCAACACTTCACAAATGACAAACCCAAAGAATCCATATCTCTGGAATGTACTGRCAAATCAAAAGGAACCTTGTCTGATGGTGTGTACACAAAGAATAAAAATGGATCTAAGGGTGCCTAGAAGTCAATCCAGGCTAGGGGTGATCATTTTCACTCCGGCCAAGCCCAGAAATTTCCTGGCTTGGGCTGGGCCTAATAGTTCATGCCCAGTGCCAACCTGGCTCAGCCCGCAACATATATTATATAATATACCCCATTTATGTTTTATAATATATATATTTTATATAATTTTTTTATATGTATTACATATGTTTTTTTAATGTCATAAGCCCAAAGTCCAACCTAGACAATGGTCCCAAACACCCCTGGAAAGTGGACACTCTTAGAACCCAATAATGGATCAAACTTACATCAAAGGCCCACTAAGCTAATATTAATATACTCAAAGCTGGGAACTGTATTGGGCCAAACCCAACCCAATAATGGAGCAATCTTACATCAAAGGCCCACCAAGCTAAAATTAATACACTCAAAGCTGGGAAGTGAATTGGGCCAAACCCAACCCACAGGGAATTCTAGGCGAGCCCCAGCCCCAGGTAAGACTGGTCATCAGTTCTGTCAGTCAAGTCAAGACCAAAAATCATATAAAGCAATATTGACAGATATATGAGCATATATGGGTGGCTCAACATAGATAGACACCAGAAACCAGATATGAATATGGACCACATTGTTGAACTGCTGAACCCTACCTATAATTGAATCTCTTTATGTTTGTTTTACTTCATCTATGAAGTCCATTGTCTTCATTTGGTGGTTGAACCCTTCAATCAGAAGAGCTAGAACAAGACCTCGCTTACTGTGTATGAAGCCCTATAACTAGGGCTATTCCTGACTCGCAAGTTGTGAGGATACAGCTTCAACATGTCCACAATTGCAACAGATCCAAGCGAGGAGAAAATTAAATGAAAATAAACAACAAACTAGGCAATGAAATTAGGGAAACAATTTTCTACTTGCTAATAATTCAGTGTGTAAAATGGTAGTGCTATCCCTGGTTTTGCTTAAACATTTGAACTATTATCAATGTTCCCTCCTCTTTGTCTGGACTTGACTTAATGGCCCATAGAGAGCAAGAACTAATCTCCAACAAGGCCAAAACCTAGGTCTAACATGCTTCATCCCAGCCCCTACAAATGACCCTCTATATGGGTTACAGACACCTAACATAATCCAACAACGATCCATTTAAATCTGGGCCATCTTAGGATCTGGGTTAGTAATTACCTCCAAAGCAAAACAAGCTATAGCTATATGAGAAAACTTTATATTGTTTCTTTCATTCTTTTCCTTATTGAAAAGAAGAGAACTACATATCACTATGACATCTTAGACGAATGCTATTGAGTTTTGAAAGGCTTGTAAGTCTTCACATCTGCTGCCAGGCCCTGAACTGATCCAACTGCAGCAACTATGGACACACTCAAGCAGGCCCAGCTCAATATTTGGAGCAAAGCCCATCTGAAGGAAAACTTGGGTATCCTGGACTGTGCAATATACATCTCTATGGGGAAGAACACACACAAAGGCCAGTATGAGGCAGCTCCGATCAGACCCATGAAGTCGTTGAAGAATGGGAATATCATCGCGATTACAGTCATCAGTATTACATACATTGTTCTCCATACCAGTCGAAAGGAGTTGATGTAGTATTTTCCATATAATGGAACACTAACAGCACGTTCTTTGCCTATGAATCCATTGTTTGGCCATTGCTTTCTGCACCATTTTTCCACAAAAGCAAAGAAGATTTGACAAAATACCTGCATGTTGAAAATTTGCTAGATTAAAAATATCAGCCCCCTCCCCTAAAAAGAGGAGAAAACAAAAGGAGTAATTTTGTTAAAATTTCTGGTTGTAGAGCTAGGAAGATCTTACTCTTTGAGAATTTCTTTTGATCAGCCATGATAAACAGTTTCCAAAGCTAAAGACTAAGGTTGGGGTGCAACTTGGGTGGGCTCGGGTTGAAGATTGAAAAGACCATCCCAGAAACCTGGGCCCCAGTGCATTGTAAAATTTTCAAATTGGGTACCCAATTTACACACCTAGACTAAAGGGTCTTCCATAGTGTTGTGTGAGAGGTTTGGTGTATTTGAGTCTACTGGGGGCCTATTGTGGTATGGTTGAAATTACATAGTTTGAGTCGCACTACACTCTAATTCTATAAGGTGTTATTGTGGCATGGATGGAAACAACAAGATTTTACTGTGGATGGAAGCAAGCGGTATTTTATGACCAAAATTAAACCATTTATAGATGGCAAGGAAGGAAAAATCTATGATGCCGGAAAACTGGTAAAGCTTTGAGCATTTTGTTCAAAACCCATGCGATTAGTTACCACTTTTATGATGCTGGTTGATTGATTATAAAGTTTCCCAGAAAAGTGATTTATCATTCAAGAAGAAGAAGAAGAAGAAGAAGAATTTATATTTGTTTGCAGGTAACCTGGTATGCTCCGACAAGATGAACAACAATGCATGCATTACTGAAGTCAATGAGCCAAAAGGGTTCATAGAATCCAAATCCAGTAAGAAAGTTTCCCGGTGCATCATTACCAAATGCCGCATAACCAATGCAACCACACAACACATAGAACATGGATGTGATCAACACCCCAATAAAAGAAGCTTTCTTCATTACTTCGTTCTCTGGAGGATTTGATTTTAGTGTATCCTGCAGTTCATGAATCGCCATCAGGGCTTCGAAAAATATATAGTGAAGGCATTGAACTGATAATTGTTTTTTTTTTTCTTCAGAAACTTGAAGAATAGAAACAATTCCAAGTTAAATACTTGTTATCCTATAGTTGATTTTAAGAGAAACATAGAAAGATTGATTTGATTTAAATGTTGATGTGATCATCAGGGACTACTACTCTTTTCTATATGATATTTGTATGTATGTACTTATGCATTATCTAGCAATATTTGTAGTTATAGTTTTATTCTATTTCATAGTTGGATTACAGAGTGAGCAAAGAGTGAGCAAAGAGAGTTTCAAGCCCAACCATGGTTTGGACTTTGAATTGTTATAGGGTTTAACTTGGGCTCAAAGCCCAGGGAGTTTAGTAGTATCCTGGGTTGGCCCATATTAAACACAGCCCAGCCCACCCAAGTTAGAACCTGGAACGTATCTCTCCTCGTGGGACATGCTTGCCTGGTTGAGTTGCTTTTAGTTAAGCTGCTTTGAAGAAACTGCCAAAAGAAGCTTCAGAAAAGAGCTGCATAAGTGGTGAAAGGTAGTCAATTTTGGGCTACAGCTASATCCATTTTATTGATTATTTGCTTTTAACGACCAACTTGGTCTGAGCCCGTTCCAACCCATCAAATGGTGAAGAAATCATAATGAAATTATGCTGTTCTTTCATCATGAACATCTATAAGCAGAGAAGGAGCTCACTCACTAGGAAATAGAATAAATCATTCATTTCAGCTGAATAACACTTGGCTTGCCTGTATCTCAACGAGGACGGGAGCGAAGGTGTAGGCAAAGGCAGTGTCTCCGATGGCCTGAAAGACCCTCCACATCTTCTCAGTTGCAGTGACATCCAATCCAACTTCGACCCCTCTCAAACTAGTCCTTACATTATGGTTTTTCTCTGCAAAATGAAACCCATTCAAGAAAAATGAATCATCCTTTTTGGGTATCTATCCATTTAAGAATATGTTGTTTCAGAGTTTTTATGAATCGGTTGCTAAACCTGCAACTTTGGCTACGGAGAGACCGATTCCTATTAGAGAATAAGAAAATGACATAATAGCTGCTATGATGGATAGCCAAGAGAGCTTGTGAAAATTGGGTATTTGAGACAGAATTATCTGAATGCATGCAAAGATGATCATGAAGGGATAGTGTGATGCGTCGCACTTGGCATGATGGCCATTCTTGTGGAAGCAGTTGGACATTTGAACTGCCCTGATTAAGAAAAGCAATATGAAATCAAAACCAGACATTATCTACAAACAATTAAAGCCAARATTGAATGAAAAGAAGTTAAGAACAGCATTTAAAGCTTAGAGGGCACCGGATTAAATTACTTACGCCATACTGATAGATGCAGTGATGGTGTATCCGATGGTAGCCCCAATAAAGCTACCATATTGAGCTAATCCACAGAGCTGAATCATGATTCCTCCTGAGAAATAAAAGGGAAAATCAGAAACCCCATTAGGATTCCAGACATTTAAGAGAGACCCACTTGGTTTATCAATGTTTTGAACTTGAATTTTGAAGGGTTTGTTTAATTTCTCTTAAAAATTTCACCAAGAACAGACTGGTTTTAGGGACCTTTTCCCTTTTTTTTTTACCTAGATTGGCTTTCACTGCATCCATGTAAGTGTAGTTTCTCTTCCCTGTAACAGGGTCAGGAGACCTATAACAGTCGGCAAGTAGAACAGATGTGAACCAAGTGATGACAGCGAAGAGTATGAGAACAACAGGTCCGGCTATCCAACCCAACTGAGCTACAACCCAAGCTAGGGAGAGAACTCCAGATCCAATAACAGTAGTAAATATGTGAGCACTTGCAGTCATCAATGTCCCTTCATATCAAAACGAATCACAACTAAATAAATATATTTAACGAATTTTTCAATAAGAATCTCAGAGCTGTTTTAACAACTGGAAACAATTACCAGTCCTTTTTATGCGTCCGTCGTCGTCCAAATCCTTATTATCGATACTTATCTCCATGATCTCTAAAGCTTCTTGGTTGTAGAAGTCGACCTTGTACGGATCTTACAGTCTCTTTTTTTTTGGGGGGGGGGGAGAAACAAGTGTAATTAGGAATGCGCTTTTGACTGAGTTTTTATGTTTGAAAGTCAAAAATGCTGAAACAAAAACAAGCGAAGCAAATGGCTTGTAGGGTGGCATATTGACCGTGTAATGTGGAGCGTGTGTTACCCCTATTGCTTTTTAATCCYGTCACAATAGTGGGTCAGTTAACCAAATAAAGTATGTGTTTGATTYCATTTATGTTTTTTCATTCAATATTTGTATTTTATTTGCTTGCAAAATCAAGAAAGGTAATAATTACAACTGTTTATGACAATTAGGTGCCACTAGGCTCTAGGTCAATGTAATAGTGAAAAATGCCTAATCATTTGTGGAAGTTTTAAAAATAACATTCCCAAATGGTAGGCATGCACAAAAACCGAAGTCCACTTTTTCCATTATCGATGCATACAAAAAAGCAAGAGATAGAAACTACTAAAGTGACACTTATGTGGAGTGTTTATTGAATAAATGCCCATGGAACCAAACACCCTAAAAGTGTCCTTAGCATATTGGGTGGGTTGAGTCATGGATAACCAATAGGTATCCATTAACACATTAGCGATTTTCAATTTTCTACTATCTTGGCTAAAATGCTTGAAAGCTAAGGTTTCTCAAAAAATTGTTCATTCACCTCGCACCCCCTCTCTCACTAGAATTTCTCAACAATTTATTCCTTCATCTCTCTCCTCTTTCTCTCTCTCTTAATTTCAGTCATTGATCAATTTTTATCGTATTTCTTTCTTTCCCTCCCTCTTTTGTTCATTCATATCTCTCTTTCTCTGAGGTAATCTCTAGTATCCTTGTCTGTCTAGAACCCCTACATCCTGCCATGCCAATAATAGATCCTCGCTGCATAAATGATCGACATGTGTATGAACTACGTACCCTCCTCCATCGACCTTGCTATGATTTCCTTTGATAGGGGATTCTTCATTGCTAAAGCCCATTATTGGTTGTTTGCTATCTTTGCACCTCAACAAGCGCCCCATTAGTCTTGTTGTTACTTTCCCTCTTAATCATAGATATATGCCACTCCTCTATTTCTTGCGTATGTGTTTATCTTGTGTGTAGATAGAGAGAGAGGGAGGGAAAGATTGGTTTAGCTTGGCTAATATGATCTTGTGAGTTCTTGTTGATAGTGATCAAAGCTAGAGAGATAGAGGACAGGGTTGGGAGGAAAAAKAGAAATTCCAACCTTAAACTAATGAGTGTTTCAACATTCAACATTTTGTGTTGAAGGAATATGGTTGGGAAGGAGGGATTGGAGAGGGATGAATTTACCGAATCACTCAACAATCTTTTCACCAATATTTCCGTACAATGATCAAAATGCAAACTTTAAGGAACAAACAATTTTCTTGAACTTTTGGAGAAGATTAATCTCAAAGTAGCTGAGGAATTTAAGGGCTTCGGTGATGTGGCTTTTGGGTTATAAGGATTTTTGTTGAGCAACTGAAGGGTAAAAACAACAACTTTCATGAATATGTTCAACAGATTGGCTCGATTGAGTAAGTTCCATAATTTGAAGTTGTAACCTGAGGAGTCCAGATTTCCTGCACAATCCTTCCTAAAGACCTTCTTGTACATCAAATGAAAGAGTGCCTTGTCAGCACTCTCTCATGTTAAAATTTCACATGTTCAAGTTAGAATAACAGACGTTTCAAACGTCTTTCCTGTTTTTAGTATATTAAAAATTTAAAATAAATAAAAATATATGGATTAGGGTTTCATTTTCCTATTTCATTCACATAAAAAATAAAGAAAATTAATCAACCGAGAATAAGACTTCCGCCTYAACTTCTGATTTCCAAGAATTAAATGCGTGAAAGCTGAGACTCTCTGACTAATAACCAATTGGAATAAAAACTCGAGGTAAAGTATTTAATTGACCTTTGTCAATTTTAATATGTAGATAAATAATATTTAATTTACCTTTCTCTATGATTTTAATATGTAGATAGACAATAAAAGATTCAAAAGAATAGAGAAGTTATCACCAGTCGTAGTTTTATGTTAAGAAGGCTAACCACCGATTTGAAACTTTATATAGTTAATCGTTTATAGATTTTTGTGGGATTTGCATAGCATCTGCCCTCTTCCCCCTTTCTCTTGCTGGTGCTTCATATCACCACCATAAAGTCATCCTCCACTGTAACTTGGATATTGGACTTAGAGACGCTGAGGACATCCATATAGAATACTTACGCCTTGGGGTTTCGAGGATGCCAACAGGGATGCTTGACGCACCTCCTTCGATTGCTGATAGTTTGGACGAGTGGGAGAATGAAGGGAAAATGAGCTTCTCTATGGCAACTAATTCACCATCAATGTGAGGTTACCGATAAAGAACATCGACACTGCTCTCATCCTGGCTTCCTGCCTTTTTCAAATCTAGGGTAAGACAGTTAGATTAGATAATGGATAGATCAGACAATAATAATGTCCGAAGAAAGTTGAAGCTAATGACTGACTTGACCAGGAGAACCAACACTTTCTTCTCTGATCACCATCCCCGCCTAGTTTCTACCGGTTTCATGTCAGTTGGGATCGAGGACTTGGCCTTAGAACCTGAAGCAAAATGAGAAATAGGAGTTAATCTTCTTGGGTTTGGTCTTCTAGGGTTTTGCAATTTCAGCCATTAAAGTTGGAGATAGAATAGGAAGAAATGTCTGGCATGGCATGGAGAGGGGATTTGAAGCTACGGAAGTCTGAAACGGTGTCGTCGTGGAATCTAAAGCTAGAACCTATTGGAACAGTTTGGAGAGACTTGGAAAATGAAATAGGAAAAACAAACTCTAATCCATATTTTTTATTTATTTTAAAATTTTAATATACGGAAAAGACGTTTGAAATGTCTGTTATTCTAACTCGCACATGAGAAATTTTAACATGAGAGAGTGCTGACATGGCACTCTTTGATTTGATGTACAAGTAGGTCTTCGAGAAGGATTGTGTAGGAAATCCCGACTCTAATCTCAATTCCTAAAATATGTTTTCATGTTGGAATCAAAAGTGCAAGGTACTTATCAAATTTTGCCTTCTTAGTAATAGTAATAATTGTTTATTTATTGGAAAGAAAAACCTAAGCTGGGTTTTTTCTTGTATTTCTTTGTTTTTTTCATTTTTTTTGTTTTTTTTGTTTTTTTATATTAATTTCTATAATTTTTTCTTTTCCTATATTCTTTCAATTTATTTTATTTTTCTTTAATTTCTGAATTTACTAGTTTTTTTGTAAATTCTATTAGTTTTCTTCATTTTATCTATTTTTTATAATTTTTGTTATATTATTTTGCAATTTTATTGTCTTTCTTTCTTAGTTTTTTAAAACTTTGTTACTTTTTTCATTTTTTATGTTTTCCCATAATTTTTGTTATTTTTATTTTCTTGCATATCTTGTATTATTTTATAATTTCTCTATTTTTATACCATTTATGAGTTTCTGACATTTAATGAATTAAAGGATTAATGGTTGGACTAGTTGGGTTATGTCTAGGTGGTTTTGGGTTGACCCAATCCATTTAACCTTATAGAAATGGGTCATTAATGGGTTGATGGGTTACAATTGTTGGGTTGAAGCTCAACCCAAAACCAACCCGCCCCTAGACACAAACCATGTTAAGCCTATGGGTGAAGACTTGAAGGGAGAAGCTTTTATAAGTACATGTTGTTAACCACAACTGTAGTGGCAATGATGGTACTAAACCAACACTACAGAGACACCCGCAACGAGTCCACAACTTGGCACAAAGCCACCACAGAATTGCGATGAACTTAAAGCCAACACAGACCTGTAATGAGCTCAAAGCCAACACAGACATGTGATGAGCTCAAAGCCACAAAACCTATGATGAATTTGAGGTCACCACAGACCTGTGTTGAGCTTAAAGTCTTGCAATGAGCTCAAATCCATCACAAATTGGTAATGAATGAAAATACAATGACTAGCAAATATCACTCTTGATAGAACACCTAGCTAGTGGGATTAAGAAAGACACGCCAGACTAGCACTGACATCATCCACGCCATGTTAGTATAGGAGACCCACAAAAAGAAGTAGCACATGTGTATTATGAGGGTCCTTAGACGAAAGGAATTTTTTTCTGGAGAGATCTCATAAGACACATGATGAACCCTTAGCAGTGTCCCCCTAACAACTAACACTAAATCAAAGATTCCCTTTCCAAATRGGAATCAAATTCTTTTGGTTCCTTCCTTTTAGGACCTCAGGATCTCTCCCGATAAAGGAAGGCATGAATCATAAGGAATGCACAACTCAATCAATAGAAGCTCTTAGTCTATCCTTGCTTCCAGCTTTCCTTCATTCTTCAAGGAGACCATCATACTTAGCTTTACCACACCACTCATAGCTTTACTAGTCTATAGGAGCTTCATAACTTGCAAGAGATTGATAAAGTCGTCTCGTCATTTCCCATTGACAAAAGGTTTGAGGACAAGATAGATAGGGAGAGAAAGGTTTTATCTGTCATAACTAGTCCTAAGGGAAAGTCGTTTCTAATCCTAGTAATCCCACTTAGTCCTTGCCAAAGTCTTAATGTTTCCATCTCTATGGGTCCTTTAAAACTCACTGAATTACCTCCTTTGGTGACTAGCAAAATCTAGACTCATAATGGTAGATCTTCAATCTCAAGGATGAGATTCTTTTAACCTGAGGAGGATGGTGTAACTCAAAGTATCCAATGCTACAATTTATACAATAGTGCATACAATGAGATCGTTAATAACTATGATGCAATTGTAGATTGTGATGAGAATAATAGTGCTTTTGAAGAGGCCCAAGACTGTGATGTAATTGGAAACAAAGGCTACATGATCACAGATGCATTGAATAAACTTGTAAGATCTGAGACTATAGTAAGATCACATACCTCAATGATAAGAGAGGATAAAACAAGTCC